GGATTCTTTTTGTTTGTTGGGGTGATGCTCATCTTGGCTCGACGGAGCCCGAGGTGTGATGGTTTCAGGTGTGAGTTCTGCGACGAAGTCGGCCAAAATTTGGCCCTTTATTGCTGTTATCGGTCTAAATTCTAGGTCAAACTGGCGCAGTGTTACTGCCCATTTTGCTATCCTTCCTGTTAAGTCTCCTTGATGCAACAAGGACTTCAGTGGGTGCTCTGTTAGGACCACAATCTTGTGTGCCTGAAAGTAATGGCTCAATTTCTTTGAAGCCATTACCAAGGCTAGCATTAATTTTTCCAGTGGTAGGTATCTTGTTTCTGCGTCGGCCAAAGTTTTACTTACATAATAAACAGCCTTTTGTTCTCCTTTTTCCTCTCGGATTAGCACTGCACTGACTGCGTGTTCTGAGACTGCTAAATACAAAAACAGTTCCTCCCCTGGTGTTGGGTTGGAAAGAACCGGAGTTGTGGTCAAGTACTTTTTTAGGTCGGTTAAGGCGGCTTCACATTCCTCTGTCCATAGGAAGTCCGTGGCTTTTTTCACCAGGTTGAAGAAGGGTCTGCACTTATCTGAACTTCTGCTGATGAATCTGTTTAGGGCTGCGGCCCTTCCAGTTAGCACTTGAACTTGCTTTGCCGATGTCGGGCTCTGTAAGTCCAGAATGGCCTTGATTTGGTCTGGGCTGGCCTCAATGCCCTTTCTTGTTACCAGATATCCTAAAAATTTACCTGATCCAACCCCAAAGGCGCATTTTGAGGCGTTGAGTCGGAGCCAATATCTTTTGAGTATGTCGAAGACCTCTTTTAGGTCGGCAAGATGACCCTTTGATTCCTTGGTCTTTACGACCATGTCATCGATGTAAACTTCTACTGTTTTACCAATCAGGTGCTTAAACATTTTTGTTACTAACCTCTGATAGGTTGCTCCTGCGTTCTTCAGCCCAAAAGGCATTACCTTGTAACAGTACAGGCCTTTAGAGGTGATGAACGGTCTTTAGGGGTGATGAACGCAGTCTTCTCCTCGTCTGAAGGGTACATGGCAATCTGGTGGTACGTTCTGTATGCATCTAGAAAACTCATCATTTCATGTCCTGAAGTAGCATCTACCAGTTGGTCGATACCCTCTGTATGCGTCTAGAAAACTCATCATTTCATGTCCTGAAGTAGCATCTACCAGTTGGTCGATCTTTGGTAGGGAAAAGCTGTCTTTGGGACAGGCTTTGTTGAGGCTGGTAAAGTCTACACAAACCCTCCATTTGCCATTCTTCTTTTTTACTACTACTGTGTTGGACAGCCATGTTGGGTACTGAACTTCTCGGATGGCCCTGGCCTCCAAGAGTCTGTCTACCTCACAGCCTGAGACTTTTCATGAATTAGATAGTCGGCCTTCTGGCTCGTTGAATCATAGGTTTTGCCGATCTGTCGACATTCAGACTGTGGCAAGTGACCTCGGGGTCAATGCCAGGCATTTCGTAAGGTGTCCAGGCGAACACCTCTATGTTTGCCCTCAAAAAATCTTCCAGTTCTCTCCCTTCTTCTCTAGCTAATCCTGAGCCGAGAAGAAAGAAGCGCTCTTCGTCGCCCTCTTGGATGAAAACTATTTTTAGCGCCTTTTCGCTCTTTTCGGCTGGTTCTTTCTCGACGTCTTCTAGGACCTCCATGTCCTCATCTTCAACTTCTGCTTTCCTTGGCTCCCGTATACTACAGGTGGACTTCATTGCTGTCATGGAGAATTTTTTTGCTTGCAGTTGATCTCCTCTGACTTCTTCAATCCCATGCTCTGTTGGGAACCGTAGTAGTTGATGCAACGTTGAGGAAACTGCCCCCATTGCATGCAACCATGGACTTCCCAAGATGATGTTGTATGGCGAAAGTGTGTCAATCACCATGAATTCTGTCCTGATCTTCTTAGTGCCGGCTTGTACTTCTAAGCTTGTTGCACCTAGTGGCCATGTCGGAGTTCCGTTAAAGCCGACCATCGGGCCGCTTGATTGTTCTAGGTCATCCGGGTGAAGGCCTAGCTCTTTGTAACATCTGACATACATGATGTCACAGGAGCTGCCTTGATCTATTAGGATGCGTTTAACTTGGCATTCCCCGACCTGTAGGGATACTACCAAGGCATCATTATGCGAATGTTGGACCAGTTCTAGGTCGGCTTCAGTAAAGGCTATTATTGGCCCTTGGCATTCTTCTGGCCGATGTCTCTTTTCCCCGACTTGATAAATATGCTGTAAATGTCTTACCCTCTGGGTTTCTCCTCTGATTTCGTTTTCATTGACCCTTGAGTGGATTACATTGACCACCCTTGGTTCTCCTGCTTGTGGTAGCTGTGCTGGGGGAGGCGGCGCTGCTGGTGCTTGAGGCAACCTTGCCTGTTCTTCCCTTGTCCTGGCTTCATCGACCAGGTCCCTCAGAAGGCCTTGTCTCACCAGGTCCTCCAAGTGTGCTTTCAAGACTCTGCAACCTTGAGTTGGGTGCCCTTCTTCATTGTGGTAGGCACAACGTCTACCAACGTTCCTTCCCATGAATTCCCCTGGTGCTCTTGCCGGAGCCCTGAAATAAGGTCGATTTCAAATCCGATCCAAGATTTTATGGATTGGGATCCGGAATACTGTGGTTACCGCCTGTTTATTTCTTAATTTTATTTCTTGTTTGGTCGGCCCATTGTTGATTCGACCTCGCTTTGGCGAGCCGTTTCCCTTTTCTTGTTTCACCTCTTTGTTTCCCGATGTATCTTCTTCGGCCCTGGCATATTTCTCAATTCTTGCCATGAGTTCTTCCATGCTTTTTGGCAATGTTTTTGCCAAAGACTTCCGTAGAGGGCAGTCATCTTTCAGGCCGTTCTTGAAGGATACGACTGCTACTTCCTGGTTGCATTCAGGTATTCGGTTGAACACCTCGTAGTACCTCTTCGCATAGGCCCTGAGGCCTTCTTCCTTGGTGATTCGTAGAGCCATCAAAGCATCAACCCTCAGGGGTTGCAGCTTGTTGGTCACGAATCTGGCCACAAACATCTCGGCCAAGCCTTCCCATGTCTTTATACTTCATTTTGGTAACTTGTGGAACCAATTAGATGCAATTTCCCCAAAGGATGAGGGGAATACTTTGCAGAGCAACGGCTCGTTTCCGCTGTATAGCGCCATTGAATTTAGGTACAACCCAACATGAAAATTTGGATCTGATTTACCGTCATAGATTTGAAACCTCGGCACACTGAATCTTTTGGGCGGTTCGAATTTGTCCAGTTCCGCCGAGAAGGCTGTCTTCGGTTTCACTGGGGAGTTTACCTCGGCTTCTCCATTCTGTTGCCTCCTCTTGAGGTAGTCCCTCAAGTCTTCTTTGCTCCTTCCTGGAGCTCGGCTGTCTTTGGATTTTAGTCTTTTTGGTACACTGCTTTCGGCCTCGTGGTGGGGCCGTTTGGATCTTTCTTCGTGAGATGTGCCAAAATGGAGTACTTGCCCCTGAACATGTCGATGTTCTTTGGGGTCTGGATTCTTCATGTGGTGTGTCCTTCGGGACTCTTCTTGCCTCGGGTTTTCCCGTCTGACTTCCCTGGAGGGCCGGTGAGAACGCCTTCCGCTTCTGGTATGCTGAGGGACCTCGGGGATTGTTTTTCTTCCATCCTTCTGGGTGTTGTTCGCCGGTATCGGCGTATCTTGCAGCGGGTATGGTGGCTGCATAACATTATTCTGCATCATGAAGTTGACGACTGACTGGAGGTCCGCCAACTTGTTTGCTAATTCTTTTACTTCCTCATCTCTCCGTAGGCACCTGTCCCTCCATACCTGGAGGTTATCTTCATTGTAGTATTTTCCTTGGTTTGCTCTTTTTGAAGTGTCGCCTTCTGGGATGACGTCGTTCTCTCTGTGACCCTGGTCATGGGCTTCTGCATTGTGGTTATCTCCTTCGATATCAAGATCAATTGGGCTGTCACTCCCAGTGGGAGCGTCAAATTGGAAACTTCAGGGGACATGATTTAGTCTTTGTATCATTTTAGTCGTTATAATTTCAATTGACTTGATTTTAACTCCGAATTTACAGATTTATCACAATTTATTCGCATTGCTTATAATTGTTAATAAATTTTAATAAAAAAAAAATATGCATATAAATGACATATGTCATTCTTTTTTAGGCTAAATTATAAATTTGCTTAACTCGATGAGTTAATCTCAACCAATTCAGTGATTATTTCTTGTCAAAAATATTAACGGTATTATCAATTAGATCAAATTGACACATAATCTAAAATTAAAGGTAAAAATTAACCTAATTTAAAAATGTAAGGTACAAAATTAATATTAAGTTTTTTTTAATAGAAGAAATAAGGAAATAGGGGAAAGCAAAATAGTGAGGTTAGAAACCCAATCCACGAGTTAGAGTAAGGCCTAGTTTGAGAAGACTAAATAAGTGTATTTTTTGACTTTTTATGAAATATGGGTTGGGTTTGGGTTGGGTTTGAAGTGATGTGTTAGAGAGGTGATGTGACTTAAATAAGATGATGTGATTTAAATAGAATAGTGACTTTTCGACTTTTTGTCTTTTTTCAATCATGCCAAACTTAGCCTAAAAGAAGCTAGAGTAGAGACCCAATCCACTGAAATTGGCGAAGTAAAATTAATTTTTGTGGGAGAAAGAGGCGGCAGCGAAATGATGAAGTAAGGGTTTATCATTCTTCATCTTTCATGCCATCCTTATCTACCATTTACACCACAAATTTGCAATGTTTTCATCTTCTACAATCTACTGAATTCATTAGGCATTATTTCTCTCTTTCTCACTCTCACAGGCGCGTGGCACCTCGGCTGACACGTCGGCGTCACCATGCCACGTGTTGGTATACAGAAAATATATCCCCACAGTGACATATGTCATTCTTTTAAAGACAAAACAATAAATTTGCTCAACTTGATGAGTTAATCTCAATAATTTTTTATTTTTTTTGAAATAAAACCTTCAAAAAAGAAAAGAAAAAAAAGAACTAAAGATAAACATCAATAGTGAATAGGGCAGCCATCCACTTGAAGAGGATGGACCAACCAAATAGGGGGGATAAGGATAGGACCCGTCCACTGAATTGTCTCCCCACAGCAGCATATCTTAGCAACTGTGTGAGCCACATTATTCAAAGCCTGACGGACAAAGCGAGAAAGGACTTTTGAGAAACCATGGCAAAGGTTCAGGATATCTTGCACCACGGTATTAAAAATCTCATGATTTGCCATTATTGTATTTATGTTGTAATTTTATATAATGCCTTGCAATTGTTTGTTCAAATGCTTGAGTGAGATTTTATATTATTTTGCTTTTTCTTTAAAAAAAAAAAACCCTTTTTCTGTTTGTAAGCATGAATAAGATGACAAAATAATACTAATCTCTTTTCACATCATTACTTGAAGAAAAATTCTAAAGTCCTATTTATGTATGTTTTTTTTTTTTAATATTAGTAATCATGGTATTTCTAAAAGTCCCGATTATGTTATGGAAAATTGATTATATTTGTGACAACCCTCACTACTGTTTATTGATAACACCACTGATTACTGCTAAACTGAGACTGATCATGATAAGTGATTGAATTGATTGAAATTCTGAGCTAATTGATTGAGTGTGTTAGTTTAAATGCATGTCTATCTGTTTGACTGTTAAATGATCTGTTCATATGTTATGTTTTAAACTGCAAATTGAAGGCCTTATCGGCGGCCGAATCTGAAAATGATTAGTGTTATGTATTGAATAGAATTTATGTAATTTTATGGTATATTTAATTGAAATGTGATTTGGTATGACTAAATTGGATTAAATAGTGTTAAATCACATAAGGTAGACTTATTTACCCTTTTGCCACTTAGTGGCCTATCTCTACAACACTTTGAGACTTGATTTTATATCATTTCATCAGCCCAATTCTTGAGCACAACCGACTAAAGTGAGAGAGATAGGAGAAATTGATTTCATCTAGGCATTTAGCTTGGAGACTTGAAGATATTGAAGGTTAATTGCATAATTAAGCCTCTAGACTTGATATTGAGGAACCTAGGTAAGGATTTCATCCTTTTAATTGTGAAATCAAGTTAGTTCTTGCTTGGTTCATGGAAGTTTAGAGATTGAAGTCAAGTTATGGTTTAGATTGTTGAATTGAAGCTTAAATAATGCATGCATGTGCATATCATGAAGTTTGAGGTTGTTTTCATAGAAATTCTTGCATGCATGTTCATATTGTTGAATTTTGAAGTTGTTTCATGAGGATTTCTTCATGCATGTCCACATTTTTGTTATAGTCCATGATCTCACCATGTTTTGAAGTTAAATCTTGCATTTTATCTTGTTTTAGAACATTGGAGTTTCAAGGAACCCATGCATGTGTTGAATTTGCATTGTTCTTCATGTTCTTGAGGTTTATTTGAAAATTATGTTTAATTGAACTACCTTTGGGCTTTGATTTCTCAAATTGACCTTTGAAACATGTCATATTATGAGTTTGCAAGTGTTTTCCAGAAAATTATCCCAAGAGGATTGAATTTGATGCTTTAAAGTTGAGTTTTGAGCTTGAGGTTCAAATCTGGAAATTCCAGATTTTGGACCCACGCTCGAGCGAGGAACTCCACGCTCGAGCGTAAACTCTGAATACATGCAGTCTGCTCGAGCGTAGAAAGTGAAGCTCGAGCGTGAAATGCGTGTATCCAGTACTTTGCATGTGTTTACAGTCCGCTCGAGCGAGAGAGTTCACGTTCGAGCGAGGACTTGTGTCTCACGCTCGAGCGTGGATCGAGCGCCCGTCGAGCGTGATTTTTTGTGCATCTAGTATTTTTACTGTAGCTTACAGTCCGCTCGAGCGACGGAAGTCACGCTCGAGCGGAGCTCCTTTGTTTGTATGTCCGCTCAAGCGTAGAAAGCCACGCTCGAGCGAGACCCCTGTTTCTTGAAAAGTGTTTTAAAGTACATCTTTGCATCCTCATTTCACCCTAGGCATTCCTAGGCCTAGTTTAAGGCATCTTAATGAGGATATTGATGTAGAACCACACCGAGACAAATTAGGGATTAAGTTATTGTTTTTCCAACTATATAGCTTAGTGTGTATTCGTCCTGTAACTGTGTAGGGTTGGCATCCGAGGACGCTCTAGCTGCTTAGCCCAGTGCTCTGTGAGTAACAATGTTGTAAAAATATGTTCAATTATGAATATTTTCTAAATGATCAACTGTACTGCTTTCTGAAATGATATATCTTATTGAATGAATGCTTGTCCTATTTGCGAACTGTATTCGTGGCATCCATAACAATTTACTGTTACTGTACTGTACTGCTACTGTCACAGAGATCTCTGTCGGTTCCCATGTTGGAACCATTACTTTTTACTATTATGATGGCCATCAACTGACTGTTCGGTCTGTTAAGACCTACTATACCGTTTGCTATGGGATGTACCACTTATGACTGCTATGATCGAATAATTGATATACTGTTTAAATGACTGTTTTAAATATTGAAAGGACATTCATTCTTAACCTCTTTACACAATTGTTATTCACTGGGCTTTAGCTTACTGTTTATATATATATATATATGTAGGTGTCTAGGCACCAGATCGGAGCTAGGGGCGTGGGGTTTAAACTCCTTTTTTGTCAAGCCAACCAACGTGCCTCACTGCGAGGTTCCAAGTGCTGCCAAGCTAAGGCTGCTTTGGGGCGTTTTAGATTTCCCCCTTTCTATCTCTGTATTGTATAGACTGTATAGACTGTTACTGTACTGTTATGGCAGGGATTTGGTCCCTAACCCGAATGTTTGTATTTGTATGTACATACTATTTTGGTTCTGAATGTAAATATGCGTGAAAAGTCTTTTTTGCATACAGACTGTCACAGCTCATTGGACATCTTTTAATTACTATTTTGGCTTCCGCCAGCCCCTGTACTATGTATTACTGTTTTACTGTTAAGCAGGCCTTCGGTAATCTCGAATTACTGGCCGGTTACGGTGCTAAACCCATAGGGGCGGGTTTGGGTCGTGACAATATTATACCCTATCACTTCTTTGTTTTTTTAATACCTAAAATGGTAGTCTCAAAATAGTTGATTTATAATCTAATTATATTGATTCCAAAGTTAGTGATTCCAAATTGAGATCATCTCAAAACAATTGATTACTGTCTGTTTTCATTTGTTTCCGTGTGAGGAATACTACTTGTTAGAATTGTAGACTATCCTGCAAGTCAATTATGTTTATTATAATTTTGTTGCTTGATTCCAATATTGATCTGTTCCAATCCTTTTTGTGGCTATTATCCTCTTCTTTACATTGATTACCAAGCATTGCCTAATGTTGCATCTACGTTGGTGGAAAGAATGTTGATTAGTGTATGTTTTCATGGCACGTAGATTTATAGGTCCACATAACATTGAAGACTATATACTACATGCCATGAATCTTTGGATAAGACCACGGATACCTTGCTAAATCTGTAATGTGGAATCATATACACACAATAAGAATCTGAACTCATTTTCTCAGGTGTAGACATTATATTAAGAGTCAACAAAATAAAACACAGAAAAAATGTCAAATTACATAACATACCATGTTCAAAAGGGCTACAAAAATAGGAACACAAACATATCTATCCTATTTTACTGTCATCCCTCCAGGTAGTTCCAACAGCAAATGCTAAAACCTGAAACAATAAATTTCAGGGGAGTCCCCTTTCTGATAATAAGTAAAAAGAAAAATACTTCTAATAGTAAACACAACTACTTTTAGAGGGAACCATTTTGAACCATATGGTCAAAAGTGGAATCAAAAGTGATTCTAAATAAGAACTATGGTAAAGGCTGTGGGTGGAACAGGGGAGGGTTTGGTAAAGTTTTTGAACTCGGCGCATTAAGGTAATCACTAGGGAAAAAAAAAGTCATTTAATTATTAAACTTTTTATATATATATATATAGGAAAAAAAAAAAACTTTTGGTCGTTAACTTGAAATCAAAATGTAAGTACAGCACAAAAAAAGTTTCAAAAAATATAATATTTGGACATAATCATAAATAGTTGAACTAAACTTTTTTTTTTTTAATAAATATTGTGCCCCTTTCAAACTACACCACAATGATTCATACATAACACCAGTTTTGTACAATGCTTTCTCCACATTCCCAAATCTCCACTACTATTTGAATTGCTATTAAAATAATGATATTGCATTGACTTTGTAATACTTAAATTCTTTCACATGTTTTCCCTTGACATGAGTTGCCTTATAGTTATGCACCAACATATTGAATATGTTATGTTCTACATTGTTGTTGGCGAGAGGGAGTTTTTATGAGCATTAGGACCGAGCTAGGCCCAGGCGTAGTAATAGGCCGTTCTATGGGCCGTGGTAAAAAGGGCTTAATGAAGTGGGCCTTAGTGTTAGCTCGGTCCAAGTGGTTACAGTCACCACGGTCGGAATGGTGGTAATTAGCTCGGTCATAGTATTCGGAGCTGAGATATTTGGGCTTCTTGTGGTGGACCTTGCTCTTGTTAGCTCGGTCAAAGCTTGCTGAAGTTAGCTCGGTCTCAATAGCCAAAACCGAGGTACAAGTGAACAATAGCCGAGCTATGTGGCACATGTGAAGGCATTGGATTGAGTATAACAAAGGGCTAGTGTTAGCTCGGTCATGCTGTTATCCAGCTAGGGTAAAACCATCTCACTTGGTTTAAGCAGTGAGGGGGGTGGTGAAGGATAAGCATTATCTTTTAGGAGTGTGATTCCTAGGAGGACTCTACATGGAAGAATAAGAGTCATACTAGGATTGTGCCAGGCAAAAGCTATAAAAGCTCACAAAAGAACCTATGTATAGGTAACACACATCTTTGATTCCCGAATACACAGAGCTTTTGTCTATTTTTCTATTTTGTTGACTTAGGCATCGGAGAGGTATCCGGCACACACCCGCCGGCTAGCTTACGTTTGTGTTTTTAGGGAGTAAAGCGACAACGTTTGGAGGAGCGCAGACTTGATCAACAGGATTATACGAGAACATTATTTTGTGCTCGTACAATTGGCGCCGTCTGTGGGAATCTCAGAAAGAACAAAACCTCTTGATCGAGTTTTCCTCTCTAATTGGAAACAATGGCGCACAATGAAGACTTGCCGCAATCAGCTATTGATGGGCAAACCCCGGAGGCGGGTGGGAGGCGCGAATGTTTGCCTTCTATCCTTCC